AGATGCTATTTGGAATTAGCTAACTTAAGATCAGTGAAGATCCATCATGCAAATGCATCTTTGCTTGTCGGCAGTCAACACTGCATGGGAAAAAAGGGAGGCAAAGGAAAAAAGTGTGCAAGAAGAGAATCCATCCATTTCAAGCATAGTTCTTGCAGCTAAAGAAGACAAACCTCTGGTGGATCCAGTCCTCTCAGTAAATGATGTGGGGGAGAAAGGCTAGACTTGGCAGGGCCTGGGTTTCATTTCTAGCTCTAAGTAATGTCTTTGTCCTTCGGCAAATTTCACATTAACTTCTCTGTTGTTCAGCTCAGTTCTTCATCCATATGATGGGAAAATGATACTTACCCTATAGGGTTAAATGAGTAATTAATGTAAAGTGCTTCCCACCAAGGCTCACACATAGGAAGTGACTGGTGAATTGTATCTAATGTTACTGAATTATTATCAGATTTAACTTACTTCTGTGATGCCATCTCCCACCACTTTTCCCACATTCACTGAGCTCCAGCCACCCATGCCAAGCCCACTCCTGCCCAAGAGACTTTGTATTTGCTATTTCCTTTGTCTGACATGATATTCCTACAGATAAAACATATGACTGACCCCTCAGCATTTTTGTCCCCAGTCACAGTGTTCTCCTCTTTTAAGCCTTCCCTAACTACTCCAGCTAACGGTACACCTCCACCCCCTTACACATATCTGTTTTTCATGTTCCTTACAGCACATGTCAGTAATAAATATATCTAATTCATATATATATGTCTCCTTGTTTATTTTCTGGTTCCTGACAAGAAAGAGCAGAGACCCTGTCAGTATTGTTTATTAATAGACCTGTGGCGATAAAACTTGGCACATAGTGGGGTGTTCAAAAAATATCTGTTTATCACTGTAGTGCTGTTGAGAGAATTAAACCACATAACAAATAGAAATCACCTAGCCCACAGTAAGTGCTAAATCAATGCTAGTTTCTCCCCCCTTGAATGAGTCTGGGGATGGCTGTTCCAAAGTGAAGCTAGACAATTAGGAAAACAAGCAAGAAAGGAGACAGTCTCCAAAGGCTTGGTTAGTCTGGAGACTGCTTCTACAGGAGGTTTCCGGGATGTAGTACTCTGTCTGGACATAGCAGGTGCTTCACCGCCAGGGAAGGCTCAGGTTTTCATTCTAGGAAGGAAGTTTCAGGAGATGGAGTACAAGGGTACTTCAAAAAGTTCATGGAAAGATTTGTATTATCTTTTAATTCTATTTTTCCTATATGGAGGAAAAGGTTTGTAAGTAAGTGGGAGGTATGATTCTGAGAAAAGGGTTGCTACCTGGTAAAATAGCTCACAGAAGTATTATGAACACTGCTTCAGAGGAACTAAGGACAAAAGGAAAGACGGGCACTATCACAGACCAGTAGAGGAAATTCCCCGGTTCAGCTGTTTAGGGCTTTAGACCCGGATTTCATTGACACATAATTTGGGCCTAAGGGAGCTGGACGCTGAGCTCCTTCATGGGTCATAACACCAAAAAAAAAAAAAAAAAAAGTTAAGGAGGCACATGTTTCATAACCTCAGTCCAAGACATCTTGATATACAACTGTCACATTGCCTTGAATGGATCCAAATGGTTTATGCCCTGAGAATGGCTGGGATGGATTCTCATCCTTTGCTTGTGGAGTGACCATGTCAGAGAGATCTGTCCTAGTTCATGAGGCCTTGATGAAGTTGACAGACAGACAGACAGATAGGTAGAGTCACATTATCTAACGGTTCTGATACTTTGAGGAGATTCTGATACCAGAGACAGAAAATACTCCAGCTTCAAATGATCCTGACTTCTGGGAGATGCACTGAGCTCCTGGTGGCTACAGAGCAGCTTTGCAGAACGGAGTCATGGGGGATGACTTTGGCACTGTATCGCACATTCAAAATTCAGTTATTCGTTTCAGGACTTAAGATTTCCTTTAATATATAACTTATATAAACATTTACAGAATGCACTCATATAAACATGTGTGTAACTTATCAATGTTTATCAATAAATAGAATTTATCAATAAAAAAAAGTCTACGTAGGCTCCTATTTTTCCCAGAACACATTCCTGGGAACCACATCAAAAAATAGGTAATCATAAAGCCAAGGGTGCTTTCCAAGGAAACAAAGTTAGTATTGAGGATCCTAGTACTTTCAAAGCCTTAGCTTCAAATAAATCATAGATACAACTAACAATTTCATAAAACTAAAGATGCAGCCATGATCAAAATTTGTAATCCTTCAAAATTATAAAATTAAGTTTTACGTTCTGTATAATGGGCACACATGTACTTTAGATGTTGATTACACAAGGAGACTAAGTGCATTATAAACCATACAAGTGGCCCATTTGTAATTCTACTCTATTAAAAATGTAAACAAAATTAAGGTGTTAAATAAAATAACATTAAACCATAATTAATAATTTACATAGACTATCAGATCAGAAAAAAATCTCAAAAATTATCTGGTCGGTGTCTTAGTAGACTCTTTATGTAACTCTTGTTAGCCCGTCATTCGTAGCCTGGTCTGTGTTTGATTTTTTTCATAGCATTTATACATATATATGCATATATATTGAATTTACAGTGTGGGAATGATTTTGATGGCCCAGGTCTGTTTTTTCTCCAACTACACTTTTTCATGGCAAACAGCATTTTAATTTACTTCACGTGACTTTGAAATTATATAAAACATTAGGCTCATTCTTATCAAAATTAGCCTGTAGTCCACATGTCTCCCATCCACCTCTTTACTTTGAGAACAAACAAAATCCCCTTAAATGAAAATGTTTGTGATGTATAAATCCGTATGTTGGGCAACCTGGAGTGACCAAATGAGGAGGTGTGGATTTGGAACAATTGGCACCCAAAGGGTACTCCTTGGGTATTATTTTTCAACATAGAACATTCATTTTCTAAATTGGTCCACCTCCTGGTGAATAAATTACTCCTTGAGAACTCAGGCACATCTACAGTAATCCAAAACATCCAAAGTAAAAATAAACATATAGAATGGCATTTTATGATTTACAGAATGTTTTCATAAAAATTATGTTATTTATCTCCATGACAATTTTTTGAAGTAGGCAGGAGAGATCTCTGGGGCCATAGACATTCAACTATTAGTTCAATTCACTTGGGAAGTCAGGAATGGACTCAGTGCCCTTGCTGCTTCCAAGCTGTGCCCTCCTCACCAACGTTCTCATGGAGGTGGCGGGTAGGATGTATGGCAGCCACAGCAGAGTGGGTGGTCTCATCATGGGTCCAGAGCCACAGGTCTCAGAAGCTTGTTGCATCCTTCTTTGTACTGGAAAAGAACCATCCTCAAAATGGCACTTGACTCCTAAGGGTGGTTGCTGAGCCTAGTGATGGCAGAGAAATGACGACTTGAAAAACCAAAGGGGATTGGTCCAGCCACAGAGTCAGTGTGCAAGTTAGAATTTAAATTAATTTTCTTCATGTTTGACAAGAATAGATTCCCCAGTCGAATCTGCTCCACTGATCAGCAAGAGTCCCAACTTGCACAGGGAGCATTTCAGCATGAAGAAATATTTCTCAACAGCATTCAGGAGTTCTAAATAACGTTTCTCTTTCGGGGACTGTTTCCCTTGCCTAAGGCATGACCTTCTCTCCAATTAAATTAAGCTTTCACAGGACAGAGAATGTTTTCTTGGCATTTGGCTGGTTTGGGCAATCTTCTCTTCCTCATTCCAAAGTCTCTTTCCTGTTGGGTTTGGTTCCAGAACTAAAGTAAACATCAACAGAAATGATAACTGATACTTCATAAGCAGCAAGAGGAAAGAGAGTATGACGAATAGTCCTGAGATGAGATGCTATCGAACCACAGCCAAGATCAAAATTAAAGCCTCACACAGCTCTGGGAAGTGGTATTTATCTCCCTGGGACCTTTGCTCTGGGGCAGCTGGCAAGAGCTATGGACTCAACTTTGAATGAAAGACAACCAGAGTTAATCTGAAGGGCAAAGCTGGCAAGGTCTGGGCTCTAGAAGGCCCAAACGAAGACAGTAGTTACTTTGAAACAAAGCCAAAAGGCAGGCAGGCCTGGCTGTTCGAGGTAGCAGATGGCTGTAGCAGCATCCTGTTGTTCATAAAAAGGAAGGAAATCATAGACATTCCCTGGTCCAAGCTTGAGTTGACAGATGTAGAAAGTGAGGTCCAGAGATGGAAGGACGTTATTCAAGATCTCACAGCAGATTAGGAGCAGAGCCAGTGCTGGGACCTGGGTCCTCTGACTTCAAGTCACACATTGCTTTCCCATTCCCAGCACTGCTGGGTCCTGCCTCCTCCACCTAGGGGACTGCCCGGAGCGAAGAGCCCACACAGTGTGAATTTCCAACAGTTCGCTCCTTTGGGAGCAACAAGGCCAGATTCAAGAGTTTTAAATTGGTACTGTGGGCTTCACCACAAGCTCACGGAAAAGATTTCAAAGTCTTAATAAACATCTGCAATGCTGCCAGCTTTGCCCAAGGCTCTTTAGGAGAAGACGTCCCATTCTAGCCCGACGGGAGAGCAAGCATCTCAGAGCAGTCTTGCGGCCATGGCACTGGGAGGAAGCTGTCTGTCTTCAGCTTCTCTCCAGGGATGCTGCGGAGACCATTTTCCTTTGACAGATTTCTGCCCTTGTGTCTTCCGTGGTAAATAAATGGAGCACGTCCTGAAGAAAAGAGCTGACACTAGACATAAGAAAGAGCAAGTGGAAGACTGTAACTGACACAAAGGCGGCCAAGAGGACGCACGTCTGGCCCCAGACACAGGGAAGAAAGTGTGCTAGTGTCTGGCACAGAACAGGAGGAAGAAGAGACAGTGGGGAGTTTGAACATGGCTGTGACAGATGTGACCAAGCAAAAACTGTGAGCTGTTGGAACATGACTCTGACCAAGACAGGCACAGGGAGGATGTGTTTTGACAATTTCTGTGTGTAGACACAGCAAAGAAGACGTATTTGGAGACATTTATCAGTGAGATAGGACACAATGCACGATCATGTTTGGAACATGAGTGAGACAGACCATGCACAGTATGGGAAACATGTTGTGGACACCAGAGACTGTGAGGCAAGAGCAGAAACTCCAGGAAGTGGGGGTACTGGGAAATGAAAAGTGGAGGCCGTTCTGTCCCCTGACTCTCTCCAACGCCACCTGCTGGAATCTCGGGGGTAAAGCCGGTGTGCGTGGGGTGCCTGCACCAGCGGTTGGGAGGCCTTAGGTGCAGTCATGCACAGGCAGCAGCTTAGGACCTGGCCCTCTCTCAGAAGCATGGCTGTCTTCTGGGTCATTGTCCCAAGGGCCTAAGTGTCACCAGGCTGAGCAGCCACCAAAGGAGAAGTTGCTGGGGGGTGGCACTGACTGTCCCACTGGCCACCACACTCCACTGCATCCCTGGAGAGAGGAGAAGATCATAGAACCTCAAAGTTGGAATGGACGTCACGGATCATCTAGTGAAAGAGCCCACCCAATGCAGGAACCCGTTTGTACCACTTGTTTGGGTGGTCGTTTAGCCTCTACCTAGGAATCTCCAGTGATAGGTCAGTGCATATTAATTTGGAGCAACTTTAGCTATTAGAAATAGCCTGTTAATCTGCCTCCTTACAATGTCTAGCTGGTGGTTGCCAGGCTCACTCAAATTCTACCCTCTACTAATTATATCCTCCCAGTTTTCTCTTCTCCAGGCTACACATTCCCATTTTCTTTAATAACTGTTATATATTATGCTTTCCAGATTATTTCCCATAATGACCACTGTCCAATGACTTGCTGAGATATCACTGCCAAACAGAAAATCTGTATTAACAGATAATACAATTATTTGGCATGAATTACTTTTTAATAAAACAACACTGATCTTTGTGCACAAATCATTTGTGGAATAAGTGTTTTAGAATTTTGGTAAGATCTATTTCAAGCTATGAGTCTATAGTCTCTGAAATCTAGCTTTAGTTTTCTTGAAGAATTGGCGCAATATTTACTGATCTCCAAGGTTCCACTATTTCCCCAGTCTTAGAAGAGCATCATTCAGAGATGTTATCAGGCAGTTCCTTTAAGCCCCTGAGATACAGTACAACTTGGCTCAGAGATAGTTAAATGCTTTCCATCAGTCCTGGACAGCAACTTTCTCCTTACAACGTTCTCTTCTTTCCAGTTGGAAGTCTATTCTTACTGCAGCAGAATATGCAAGATTTCTTCCCTAAATAATGAGATCTAACTATTCTGGGTTTGCTACTTGCTTTGAACATAGCTTTGATTCATCCTTGGTTGTATATTCCTTCTTCCAGATTTTCCACATGCTGTTTTAAAGTGTAAGTTCCCTAGGTAACTCAAGATGTGCCCTCACATCTTTACATGCTGTCTTAAATTTTTATTTATCTTATTCATTGAATATATCTATCAAGAAAAAAAAAGAGTGAATGGAAGAAAAAACAAAGGAAGGAAAGAGGAGAAGGAAGGAGAGAGAGGGAGAAAAGGAGGAAGGGAGAATGTCTCATTTCTCATGGCCAGACTCCCTTGGTATCATATTCGTTATTATTGTCATTATTAGTAATGGTACAAACAACCACCCCATTAGGGCAGCACTCATGTGCCAGGTACTGAACTAAGTGCATTATATGAATTAATTCATGTATTTTATACCCATTTAACAGATAAGGAAATCAAGTTTCAGAGAGTTTTAATAATTTGCCCAAGTGTACACAGTTAATGATTGGCAGAGTCAAACCTTACATTTAGGTCATTTTGATACCAAAATCTGTGCTTTTAATTGTTCTGCTGTATTGCCACTCGCCATCTTGAGAACTATCACTGCTAAGTTCAGTGTTCATGTCCTGTTGTCCCTAGCATCTCCTTGTCCCACTATGGCAGACTCCAGGTCAAATGAATATGTGCAGGAGAGCATGTTATATCTCTTCCATGCATGGGAAGCCTACAGTGTGATGTGGCTTCTTTTATTGCAACACAGTATGAATGGGATGTTAACATGGGACTCTTTCCTGTTAATCCCTCCCGCCCATTAGAGAGAGTCATTGCAAGATGGGCTCCTAATTTTTGGGGGGATGTACAACTGGGGAGACTAGGTGGAAAAGGAAAAAAAAATATCCTGCAAAGGCAGGAGGAAAGTAGGGAAGACATAGTAAGAGAGAAGGCTATGTGAATGAACATCATAAAGAGTTCAAAAAGGAGACAGGATGGAAGGCAAGGCAGGAAGATGAGGGATAAAGAAAGCAATGGGGTGGAGTGTGTCAAAGATTCCAGAGCAGTTGGAAAGAGAGGAGGAGGTTCTTTGAGAAGTGTTTCCCAAAGGTTATATTGGCTCTCATACTATTCTTCTAGAGATTCAAATAAAGATTGAAATTATCCTAGAATTGCTATTTGATGCCTGGTGCCACTCCTTTTTATTGAGTCTACATTGATATAACCCTGGCCAAAGAAAGGAGCCATAGAAAAGGAAAGACAATGGCCCAACCTCTAACTCCACACAGGACTCCAAACACCACCTCCCTCTCAATGGAGCAAAGGAGGACTTGAGAATAATGACAGGGTGACTTATGTCCTGGTTGGGCCTAACAGTCTCAGTTTACTCTATTGTACTGACATAACTGCTAATAGTCTACACTTTAGTGTCATCTGCCCTTTGAGTTTCATTCGAGATAAAAAATGACGGTGCATTATGCGGCATGACAAGAGATCTCCTTCTGGTGCAACAGATCACACCTGGTGCATGAGGCTTTACCACTCAGCAAGCCCCTTTTACTCGCGACTACAAGGTCACCCTACTAACTCAGCAAAGGAAGCAGCAGAGTGCGGCGATGCGAGCAGTGAACCAGAAGACAGGACCTGTTTAGCCTCCAGCTTAGTGACTCTGGATGACTTAGTCCCTTCCTGTGCCTCACTTTCCCCACTTGTTAAATGAGAGGGAGGATGATCTATAAGATCCTTTGCAGCTCTGACACTCTGATTCTATGAGTAGCAGGGATGGTGGGTGACAGATACAGGCTTTCTGATTGGGCACCAGCTGTGTGTGGGTCTGTTCTCCAAAGCTGTGGGTAATTGCTTCAAATTTGGCTTTTAATATTCTATTGTTAGTATCTGATACTTTATATTCTGTGTGGAGGGAAGAGGTTTTGCTGGAAACACTGGGAGGGTAGTTTTTTGATTTCTATTAAAGAATCTAAAAAACCTCAGTTTCTGAATCTGTGAAATTACATTGCAAAGCTGTTAAATGTATCTGGGTAGGGCAAGAGAGGATGGGACTGAGGTGCCACAACTTAAAATGCAGTGAGATCACAACTGTCCTCAAACATATGCTTGATCAGAAACATTGGCAGAGCCACACAAAAATCCCTGACGCAAAACATCATTTAAAAGGAATCTTTCTCCAATATTTTAACAGATGAGTTTTTTAAATGTAGTTTTTTTTGTTGTTTTAATGGCTTTGGTAAAACCCTTTACAATTTATAAAGTACTTTCATATATTCTTCCACACAAAACTGTAAGAAGAAAGGTACAGAGTACTATTTCCATTTTAGAGGAGAACAGAAATACAATGTACGGGCATGGATTGATTGATGGGTAATGGTGGATTTAGTGCTATAAATCAGGCATTCTGCCTCCCAAACCAGGAATTCTATCCACTGGGAAACATGGAAATCATTTGTGTGGTGGGGAGAGTTTTGTGATGAAGTTTAATATTACCAGTTAATGAAACCGACTTACAATTACTTGTGTTCCAGAATGAGGGAGAGAAGGAGGACAGAGAGAACAAGAATCACTAGTTTTCATCTTTCTCAAAGGTCCAGAGGCTGTGAGCATGAGAATTATACTGGGTACCTATAACAGATACAGATTCCCAGGATCCACACAGACCTCTAACAGGGTGGGCGGGAAGGCAGGGGTGCGGTGGGGAGAGCAGATATCCACATTTTTAAAAACTTCTCTCAGCTGATTCTTATGCACACAGGAGTAGGAGATTCTCTGAGCAAGTGGATTTCCAACTGTTCTATTCACGCCTGAGAGAGAGCTTAGAGATAGAGACTTCTTAGGAGGCAATAGTGAGAAAGAACCAGCAAATCAGAGGGCCAGAGCTAAAAGTGTGAGGCACTCAGGGGAGCTCCAAAGGGATCAGAATGGAAGCAATTGATAAAAACAATCCATTTTAGCAAAGTGGACAAGGAGCTATTTATTGATTTTTGTGACACTGAAGATGAAGAGATAAGAAAAGACTTGGTGATAAATCACGAAGATAAGAAGGTAAAAATGTAAAGAGATATGCACCAAGCAATATTTCTTTAGGTGCTGTGCATGTGATGAAAACTAGAATGCCTGGGTACCATTAGCTGGTGAAAACGAATGGTTGTCTATAAACAGCAAATAGTGAACAGTGATTTGTAACAAGTTATCAGCAAGTTCATTTATTCAAAAAGCAATGCTCTAGGTCAATTTCTTTATTTGTCCTTAGATTGACTATCAACCAGAATACTCTGGAATATTGATGCTGGAAGATCAAGTGTTTCCCAGACATGGGATGTGTTTAGCGGGTGATATGCTAGACAACAGTCACAGCGTTAAGTAATTTGAATCACAGCAAGGGTATTAAAATTATTTTTTTACTTATCCTGCTTATTTTAAAGGAAAAGACTCAGTTTGGCCACACTCTGGCTTTAACAAGTCTCTAATAACTAACAGATGCAGAGCTGCCTCAGGCTCAGAGCCTTTGGCAAGCAACAGGATCAAGTTAAACTTTGTTTTGTTTTCACTGCATTTAGTTTTTAAATTATCTTCTCTTTATGGTTTTGCATTTAAGGTCATGATACAGATTTTCCTTCACAACTATATTTATTTAGATTACAAATGTATATAAAGACAAATAGTAAATAAATAATGGCTGATATGGTAAAAAAAAATCATGAAAGTAGCATGCAAGTGATAGAGACCTCTATGAGAAAGATGAAAAATGAATTGCAGAGAGCTTCATGTCTTGACAAGAACGTAAAGCAACCCATCCACATGGCAGAAGCTCCAGGATCTCAAGCCAGTGGTCTTTCTACTACTTTGTGCTGCTTGTAGAAAGGACCCCACATAGCTAAGTCTGCACAGTTCGGGATGCCTAACCATGAGGCCTCTGGACATAATATATTCCCAGGGGCTGTTTAATTCAATCACCAGTCTCAGATATGTCTATGTTCCAATACGCCAAAGTGCAGGATCAAATCAGAATCAGCCCAATGTACCTCTTTCCCTATTTCTCAACATGCATATATAAGGATGAGGTCAAACCAATCACCTGGTGAGATGTTTTCCCCCATTGTCTACCACAGTTCCTAAAAGACAAATAAAAGGATTGGCATTTTGAGTCTTTGTGGGCCCAGGCTGTTTTCCTGCCTTTTCTT